GATGTGGTACCTGTGCTGATTAAACCATAATTTGTAACTCTGTAATCAGTATGGGAACACTTTATAGTCACATCTACCTGCTGCTTTTACAGCCCCCTTCTAAACAATTTAAATAGAAACTGAAAAGTAAATGAGACCAGAATCCTTATCTTGCAAAACTGAGCAAAGAGAAGTATGTAATTGCTAATTACCTCCAGCGCCCTACTGGGCTGGCTGGCAGCAGCTCTGTGGGCTGTAGTACAGTTACTGCAGGTTCAGTAGTATTCCTGTTTAATTTGTTCAGAGTGCTGGGTAACTAACCTTCCAGCAGCAATCCAGTGCTAGTTAAATTATTATCTCCAAAACTAGTCCCATTACCTGTAACACTTGGGTCTTTCTGTCTTCTTGTTTTGCCCTGGCTTCTCTGTGCTTTGCAACTGCATCTCTTTCTAACAAGGTTTAGGAAATCTGACTGGGGGAGTGAAGAGATCCTTAATGCAAAGAAGGCATCAGGAACTTGGCCTGCTTTACTTATTTATTTATTTTTTTATTTTAATTATTATTTATTGTATTTTTTTCCTAGTGTTAATTTAAGTGGATTTTGAACTATGAGCCTTATGAACTACTTAAACTGTGCTGACGCAAAATCTATTTCCATTCATTCTCTTTGTTTCCTCTCTACCCTACAATGTACTTTACTATTAACTTCTGATTATTCTGAATATTACTGCTTTTCTTGTAGCAGCACTCACCTACTCTGCACTAACACAAACCTATAGGTATCCTTGCTTTGGGTCTTTTTATAAGACTTTCAATTTGAAACTTGGTGTTGTTTGCCTGAATTGCTTTTTGACAAGCCAGAAAGCAATTCTATCTGAGCTGTGCCGAGGAGGGAGAGCTGCAGGGTGACCTTGCTCTTGCTTCTTTCAAGCCATAACTTCCAGGAACACTCCTGAGATCAGTCCAGCCTTATCTATATTTCACATTTCATTGTCTGAATTCCTTAAAAGTCACACAGACCTAATTTTTTTGTTCAGGAGCACACAGGATGATGGTATATAGCAAGAGAAATTGTGATTTTTCTACACTGAAGTTCTTGGCTATGTTCCCAGACTAGGATGGTAGTGACGGAAGGATGGCTCTTTGTTTGATAGACATTAATTTTTTGGTCATGAGCTCTCTCCCAAGTTTCAACTCTGAAGTAACTGTGTGTATAACTGGTACCCCTGCTCTCATTCCCTACAGAGAGTCCTGGAAGCACTGACCTGTTAAGCAGGGTGACCTCTTGCACACAACACAACCCCGCTGGCAATCCCGTGCAGGACAGCTTGCTCATCTCCTGCTGGGTATGTTCTGCAAATAACTGGGCTGCAACCTTTGTTTATAAACACCTGAATGCTGTTTAATGGGGGCAACACTGATTGTCACAAAAGCTAATGGGGGTTGCCTTGTCACAGTGTGAATGGCAGGAAGATATGTGAACTGTGGTATCACAGCAAGAACAGACTTCATCTGTTCCCCTCCAAAACAGAGAAGTCTGACCTTGCCTGCCCAAGGCTGAAGAAAACAGTCTGCTGGGAAAGAAGCACAAATCTGCTCCCCACGCTTATTCACTACTCTTGCAAAAGAAGTAGTGGCTTTACCTCTCTTATCAAGAGGCAGCTGGAGCCAGGTAATCCCCTGCAGAACTGGGAGAGCAGCAGTCCTTAATTCCTTCTGCACGTGAGCCACACCTTAGCTTGCCATGGAAACGTGTAATGCAGCAGAATTGCTGCTATCAGAGAGGGTAATACTTCTCCTACCCCTGGGGGACACGGTTGCCCAAGTGAGAAGGTTGCGTGTCCTGGCAACTTGATGTCCTCCTCCTCCTTTGCTTGCTCACAACTTCTCATACATGCCTCATCGTAGCTTCTAGTTACTCCACTGAATCACAATTCTCTTTTCCTACCCCTTTTCAAAGACCTCTCCCACCAAAACTTGCCCCAGTATGAGGTCAGTCTTCTGGCCACAAAGGATACAGAACTGGTCCCTTCTTTGCTTAGGAAAGGGTTTTTTATTGCTGATACTTCTTAGCACAGAAGAACAACAGAGACCAGGAACTCATTACGCTGACCAAAACTCAACAGATTTACTTGCTTGGGATATTGTTTTTTGCTGTGGGAATACTGTTTGCTCAAGAACAGCACTGGTTTGCCTTTTGGCTTCCTCAATACTTATTTCCATGCCATAGCCTCAGGCTGTATCTTCGGCTGTGCAGTGGGCCAGGGCCACTAACACTGACTTGATGTCCTAAGCTCCCAAAGATTTTATAAAGACCCTGATGGTAGTAGCTGTCCATCTCAGAGAAGGGGAAGAGGATCTTTATTCTTATATTGCATGTCAGCTGGTGAAGGCAGATCTCATAAATAAGTATTAGGCTCTCTTGCAATCACTCTGTCCCCTGGACTCGCCGACACATACAAGAAGCATGCAAATAGTTTGACTCATTCTTCATTGAAGTACACAGACTTACCCAATAGTCAATCACCCTCCTGTTACTGTCTAGACTTGTCAAAGTGAGGCCTAGTTATGAGACACATGACAGCATCTGCAGAAGTGACACCTCATGTCAAACTTTGTGTCCGTGTCATGCAAGAAAGGCTCAAGCTGTTTACAAGCCTCCAAGATAGATCAGTGTGCTGGGATCCGAAGCCCTCTCTGTCTCAAGGGCATGCTTGGCATTTCTCTCAAACAGCACAGAAGGTGGTGGGACAGAGAGCATCATAAGGCATGAGATCCCTCCCACCAAGGCCACTGCTAGCGCTCTTGCCTGATGTCAGACTCAGCTGTGGGACAATGCGAATGCTTCCCGCTGAGCAGAAGATGTACAGGAGGTCCTGAGGCCCCACTCACATGTCTGTTTTTTAGAGCTGGACATCAGGAGTCAATATGTTCATCCTTCTGTTTGCCAATTAAGCAAGTCACATTGTTCTCCAGCTTTGAATGCTTTGATGTCAACCCATCCCCATGATGTAGTCCTATATAGGGCTGCATGTCCTATTCATACCAGGGGCAGTCAGCTGCAGCCCTCCCTTGTTCATGTGCCCCACTGCACAGCTCCCCCATAGTCTCACTTCTTCAGAGGGTTCCCTAGGAATAAAGGCACAAAGGTCACTGAATTTAGGCAAAGCGATCTTGGTAGCAAATCTCGGTTGGTCTCAGAGGCTTTTGAACAGTTTGAGCCTCAAATTTGCCTCAATACTTGCTCAGTTGGTCTCTGCTTAGCCTCCATTTTCCCTGCATCTGGTTCAATACCTCCACTGACAGATCTTGGGGTGGAGCTGCCACGGGAAGCTTAATTTTCTGAACCTGGCCCTTCTGCCTGCTGTCAGGGAGAACCAACCTCACCAACAGCTGGAAGAAGTGCATCTGCAGTGCCTGGCTGGCCACTGGCTGGGACCCACTAAGTGTGATGGAGATGGTCTTCCTCATCTCCACCTCTAAGATCTACTGGGCAGCTTCCTGGATCCCTGACTTTGCCAAGCTCTGTGCCAATGCACAATATGTTAGTTTGATTTTCTCCTGTCTTGTAGTTATCTAACCTCCTGCATGGGGCTGGGAAGGCCTGAGGGTGCTGGTGCATGCCCACCCTGTTTCTGAGCACACGTGAACACATTTATGAATGATTTTTTGTAATTACTGGATATATTGATGGAAGGAAGAAACTATTGGTTCTGATGGATTTTTAAAAGGTATTTATAAGAAAACAGTAATATTTTTAAAGTTTCCCATTTTGTGAGTCAGCAAAGAATAACAGTACACAAGCACCTAAAATGTCCTCTTTAAAACCAAAAAAAGGTAGATCACTCCAATTTCCACAGAAATTTAACAAGTGTAGCTTGCAAGATTTATCTGCTGATTTAAGAACCCAACAATAAATACATTGCAACTTTGTAAGATTAAGTATTGTCAGTACCATGCAGGGATTGAAGAACAGAAATGATTACAATAAACTCCCTCTCTTTCCTATTCCTATATCTGCACCCAATAATAATTATGCAAGAAATTAGCAGTATTTCTAGAGCAGCTCTGATGTTAACTGCCTGTTTTCAAAAGTATTTTGTGTCACTGTGTAGATTACAAAATTGCTATTATGCAACCAGAAAGACAAGATCCTTTGAGACTGTGTTTTGCCATAGGAGCTCAGGAGGACATCACCCCCCCTCGCAGGGGTTTGGAGTAGGACTGCCGGAGTCCAGAGGCGACAGACACGGGCAGAGGGCTGCTGGAGTATTTGTCTTTACTAACCCTTCTGACCTTACAATCAAGCCTTTTGAAAGTGGATTTTAAAACAACTTATTTCAGAAAGCCTTGAGGATAGTAAATTGAGAAGAAAAACGTTATCCACGGCCAAGGTACCTAGAGAGCGTTCCATACATTTTGTTGTGTTACTTTCCAGACAGTGATATGTTTTAACAATTGAGAAGGCACTGTGAGCGCGGTGCGCAAGCTCCCGCTCAGTGTTCGCGGGCACCTCAGGTAAGTATCGGCATGTCCCAAAGTCGGTAAAATGAGTGTCCCAAACCGCTCCCGGCACTCCCAGTCGTTGCGGACCGTGTGACACGGCCGGTCCCGCAGCAGATGCCGCGGCGATGGCAGAGCCCGGCCGGTGCCGGGAGCGCCCCGGGACCCCCGAGCCCCCGGGGCGTAGCGGCACCGTGCGGAGCCCCCGCTGCCGGGCAGTGCTGTACGCTTCCAGCCGGGGAAGCTCCGTGCCGGAGAGTCTTTTTCCTTGGCAGAAAGTTGTGTGGGCGCTCGCCCCCCGGGTGCCTGGGGCGAGGCGCGCCGGCGGGAGCGGGGCGTGTGCGAGCGGCTGGGCCGGTCCGGGCCCGGGGCGGGGCCAGGCGGCAGGGCCCGGCCCCGCTGAATGTCAGCCGGGTACGGGGAGAGGGGAGGGGAGCGGAGAGCGGCCGCCTGTGTTCCGGGTCAGCGCAGGGAATGCGCGGCGGCCGCCGGCAGCGCTGGCGCTCGGCGCCCTCGCGATGCCCTGCAGGGGAGGGCAAGAAGCCCGCCGAGAGCAACTAGGGGGTGCGCCCAGTCCCGCCCCGCTCGGCTCCCGACCCATTGTCTCCGGGGTCGCCGCTCCTCTGCCCCGGAGCCGCTTCCCGCCGCCGGCGGAGGCGCGCTGGATGCGGGTTGCGCCGGCGGGCTCGGCGGGACCCGCGCTGCGCGGCGGCGGAGCGGACGGCACCTCCCGCGGCCGGCGCGAGGAGGGGGCGGCGGAGAGGCGGCCGCGCCCGCCCCGCGGTCCCGGCGGCGGGGCGAAATGTTCCTACTGGCATCCCCCTGTGGCGTGCAATCCGCCATGTGGAGTCCATCGCAAAGCGCCAATGCTCGCTGGCCGCCGTGCCCGAGAGATCTATACCGCTACAAGCGCAGCCTGGATTGAGCTCGATGCTGGAACGCCATACCAGCTCCGCGGAGCTGCCCAAGGTGATCGGGAAACGGAGCGGGGGGCGGGGTCCCAGGTGAGCCGCCCCGGCAGCGTGGCCCGCCGGGCTCCCCGGTGCAGCGCCCGCGAGAGGAGGCGGCGCCGCGCCCGCACCGGGGCTGCGGTGCGGGGTTCCCGGGGCCGTCGGTCTCTGGTGGCAGCCCTAGGAGTTAAAGGAAGAGCCGGAGTTTCGCACTAGCATTTTGCGTTTCCCTGCTTCCGTGGTAAACGAGCTTTCACGAGCAAAACCTGAAGACCCGCGTCTTGCAGGAGGAAAGGTCCTGTTTGAGGGCAGGGGTTAATGCCGGAGTCACAGGACACGAGTATATGTTGTGATTAACGTTCACGTCATCGGAATTACGAGACCTTGGAGGGTATTCAACCCTCCCCTTTTTCCCTTTTCGATAGATACTGTCTGCTCTGTACATGGGAAAACCAAAACCATCCAACAAGTAAAAGCGTTCCCGTTTCTGCCTTCTTCTGCCGGAAACGTCGTCATGCAAAACACGGGAGACATATAAACCTTTTCTGTGTCTCGGTGTAAGTCCCGCACAGTTGTCAGTGTTTTGCTTCTCGCTTGAAAGATGTAGCCTGATTTTTGGGCATACTGTTTTACTGGTAGTATTGTCAAAGGTGAATTCACTTTAAATTCAACACGGTTTTGAGACATCGAGGTGGTACCTTTTGCTGTGACTCTCCAGGTGGCATTTGCTGGTTTTGCTAGAGTGATTCCAATGAGGCACTGTTCCACTCCACAGATGCAGTGGAGTGGGAGGCATGTTCTACTTCTGACTCGATGAACCATGGGGTTTTTTCCGTGTTTCCTCTTTAAACTTTGGGCACCTCAGAACCCTTTGTGAGCTGTGGTTGGTAGAGTTTGACACTAGAGGGGAAGTGTTACCTGGCAGCTGCATGTTAAAAATGCGTGGACTCTTAATAACTTGGAATACAAGAAACTGAACTCACTAGTCAGAAAAATTTTCAAAAGCACCTTTGTTTCCACCTGAATCAAAGTTCCTCTGTTCATACGCAGACTTAAACAGTCTTACTTTTTCCTTTTTGAAATTCAGTGCACTAACTAAACTTTTTTTCACTCTATGTAGTAAGAGTAATCAGGGTGGCTAGGTTTTCCTATAGGCAGTAGTAAAGATGTTCAGTTGAACTGACATATTAAATTTGGCTTTTTCTTTTGAAAAACCTAGGCACAAGTTTTCATCGTGTTGTGACTGAGCTCTTTATCCTTCTGAAGTAGAGCAAAACTGGTTTACATAGCCTGTGTGTGGGTGCTATTTTTACTTCCAGCAGTTTTTACTGGCTTTGTGCACAGACTAGACTCAGGAGTCTCTTTGTACTAGACTTTTCTTCTTAGTGTTGGCTTTCAGGCTTGTTGTCTTATTGCAGGGGTGTTGAATGTGCTTGTGACTGAAATCCAGTTGAAACCTGTGGCTCTCTGAATTATTTTTTTTAAGTAATAAATCCACCACCAACTGGTTGCTGTGTACAAATGTAAATGATGATGTCTGTTCATTGTGTTATATGGTATTAATTTCTGTAAATAGAGTGCAACGATCTGTTGTTTCTTTTCTCTTCCTTGAACTGTAATACATGCAATAGCCTTTTTTTTGTCCTGTGGTGGTTAAAAAGACCACTTCTTCCCATTACTTACCTGTGACTGCATATTAAGTCCTGTACATGTAAGAAATAGCTGAGGGGGTTAAAAAAAACCAAAACCAACCCAGGCTCCTTGGCACTGAGGTAGAATCAAGTAAAAAGTGAAGTTAGAAGTTTGGTTTATCTTTTTTTTTTTTTTGAATGTCCATAGATCATGTTACAGGAGTGCCTAAATATACTCTAGGAATATGTTTGTGGGTTTCTAGCTGGACTAGGAAGAACCCGATGAAATACAACTACAGAAACATACTTTTAGTATCTTCCTTGAGTACTTTGTGCCTTGTCAGCAATGCAGGGAGGCATTTTTATTACGCACGAACCTATGAACTTTCCTTGTCAGTTCCTTATTAATGATTTCTGATAAATGGAATACAGCGCCATCATCTCAGGTAAGTGTTGATGCTGCAGAATGTTCAGATACAAAAATATGGCTACAATCCTGGATGTGAAACTAATCTGTTGAAAGTGGAAACTGATGGGAAAAGCCCTGTTCAACTTTTCTACCAGCAAATAGTTCTAAAAGTTCTGCTACAGGAATCTGGTTCAGGAGAATAGTGGAAGATCTCTCAGTGGAAGATAGCTACAAGGGTACACTGTTCATTCCCCTTATATTAAAAGGGTAGTGCCAATACAAAGTACAGATACAGAATTGGAAATAAGTGCAAAAAGCTGGGATAGACCATACCTGTGGTAGACAAAATATGAGAGAAATCAGTAGGGTGTGTAATTAACAAACTGTTAGATCAGCGTAGATCTTAGTGGTTGTTACACCCTTAATTTAGTGTAATTCATTATATTAGTCTGACCTTACCTCCATTAAGTTTCTTCCCTATGTGCATAAAGGCATTAACACAAAATCAAACTGTTTGGGCTCAGTTGAGACCTAAGCAAGTCAGGCCCTAAGCAAGTGTAACTCACTGGCTGGTTAGTTAGGTGTTTTCCTGTGCTTGAGGAAGTCCTGAAGTTCACAGTGATCTGTGCTGATTCCTGGTGAGTCATCTGCGGGCTGTGCTGATGCCATAATATAATCCCTTAAAACCGATAAGGTGTTCGTGCCACTGAGGTGGTTGTGATCCTCCTAAGGGAAATTGCTGCTGTAAAGCCTCACCTTGGAATAGTGAAGAGCCCTGTAGACTCTGTGACTTGCAGCAGAAGTTGCCACAGTTGGATGGAGGAGGAAATCCCCAACCCTGCTGCTCAAGGGTAGTTCTGCACAAGGGTAGTTCAGACCTCATTTTCCCAGTGTGGACAGTTGTGGTCTGAAAGGTCTATTGCAGCAGGCAGGAGGTCTTGTAATGCTTCTCTGAAATCAAGCAGATATTGCTGAGTTCTTTTACCGGCTTTGCCATGGCTACAAGTTAGAGACAGTAATGATGGCTTTATCTCTAGACATCTGCTTTCCTTCCACTTGCACTTTTTTTTTTCATCCCTTCAAATGTAAAGCTTTCTGAGGGAGATAAATATCAGCAAGTGGCATGGTGAAAGACATGGACTTGCTGCATTTCACTCAAGTTGATGAGGCATCTTGTGTAAGATGCACATGGTTCCCCTCTTTTCCCTGTTTCTCCCTGCTCCTGTTTCTATCAAGTAGCAATAAAAGGTGTTCTTTGGTTGGTTTAATCCAATACACCAGTAAAAGAATACACTTTAATACACCCTAAAATCTCCATTTTGAGGTACAGAAGTAGTCTTTGTTAGCATACTTTAAACCTCTCTTATTCAGAGGCCTTAAACAGAGCATGGCATATGTTAGGGTGTTACTGAAAAAAACCCAACAGAACAAACACACATAAAAATCCCCTCAAAAGACAAAACTTAGAGAATTGCTGTAGCATCTTTATGAGAAATGACCAGCAGAAAGACCCAGCACTGTTGTTGCATTGCACGTTATGAGAGTCGTTGGAAGTATCCTAAAGAGAAACAAGAAATACACTTGAATTGTTTTGAAGGAATTACTTTGTTGGTTTTATTTTTGTCCTGTTGGCTGACCCAAATGTATAGTAGAATTCTTTACCTTTATCTAAGGGGAGAGGGGTAGGAAGGGTCCATCTGGAAGACACCTGAAATGTTTGAGAAGCAGAGGGAGATCGATCTCTTTGCCCCTGTTGTTTCCACTCCTTCCCATGTTTGCTTCTTTGTACATTAATGCATATGTGGACCAGGAAAAGAATTCAGTTTCTGTGACCTCCTTTTTCTTACAAATACTCTTTTTATCTAAGCTATACCTGTCAGCTTATTAGGAATACAAGGTAATAATTTATATTTGTACAGTAACTTACAATATTTTTGTATCATTTTGCTACTGCAGAGGGATTCTTTTGTTTTCCCATGTCAATAAACTGATTCTTTTTCAAGGTCTCTTTAATGACTCTGTTGGATCCCTGGGTCCCTTGTTTGCTCCCATTCCCAGTTATGTGGTGGAAAACTTGTGCTTATGACAGCACAAGTTGCTGACAGCGACCTTTTACTGTTGTTACCACTGATGTCTCAGACTCCTTGCCCCGCGTGTTCATACTTTCCCATCCTCTCCTGTCCTTGATGTTCCAGGATCTTCCTTACTTCCTCAGCCTAAACAGCTCTGTCTGCCTTCTGTTTCTGACATTTTTCTTCCTCTCCTGTCCCTTCTGTGCTGGATTCTTGACTGCCCTTGCAAACATTTCTTTTTTAGTACCCTGGTCTTTCCCTTTCCCTTCTACTGCCTCCCAGGTTCCCTTCTCTGCTCTTGCCCTTCCTGCAGGATAAGCCAGCCTGGTGGGATGTGCTGGAGGAGCAGGCTGTGTACTATTAAGCTGCTGGTGGTTTTCCACAATACTGAGGTCTCTCTCTAGCCTTTCTTGGCAGATGTGACTGCTTTCCCACAGAACAGCAGTTTCTAGCTGTCAGCATGCTTCTCACCACTTCTGCTTTACAAGACAAATTAAAGAGCTGCACCCTTTGGTCTCAAAAGGATGGGCTATGTATGGAGTTGGTGGTAGAGTGTGGCTATTAACTTGCTTAAATAATTCCTTTTCCTGTATTGGATCCTAAGTGTCTTCTGTTGAATATTTAGTGTATCCGATTTCATTGGAAAAATACACAGTAAGTGGTCTCCAGTGTGCATAGAGCAACTTAAAAATGTAGTTTGTGGGGTTTTTTTTCTAAACCTGTAGCATTTTTATTTTCCTTAGGAGTGAAAACTTGAAGACTTTTTCAACTCAAGCTCTAATGTGTAGTATATAATTTGCTACATGTCAAAAACTATTCTTCACTGGAGAGTAGGCTTTCTGGCAAATTGCTTTGATAGAAGAAAATAACACATTCTGCATGATGCGTTTCAATAGCTTCTCTAATGAAAAGCATCAGATAAAAATAAAATGCTTTCAGTTCTATAGATCAGTCTGTAGTTGATGAAAGTCTGTAGTTGTTTTCTGCTTGTGTACTTTGGAATTTAAGGGCAAATACATCCTGTCAACTTAATTTCTCTGTGCCTGGAATTTGCAGTACAATACTGAATCTCTGCGAATTTTTTTCCACTGATGAAAACAAAAAAATATCTTATGAACCTTTGAATGCAGTATTATGTTTTGGCCTTTGTATTAAATCACTAGTATTCTTTGCATTGGTGGGTGGTAGAAATAGCTTATAACTCTTGTTTTGCTCCTGTTATGTCTTACTGCTGCTCAGTTGTTTAGCTCAAAGGATAATGACCACTTTCCCATGAGACTTTTTGCAGATGCTGTTTCTGGAAAACTCCAGTGGCAAAAAAAAAAAAGTTTTGTATGCATGTAGTTTAGCTTAAGAGTCTGCTGAGCTCTTTTTTAATTTGGGGAATGATTTTTATGTAGTGTTTGTAAACCTAATCTAATGCAGCTCTGAATCATTTAGTTTCT